TGGAAAAGCGGGTTATCGATATCTTTTGAAGCTGCAAAGCGCAGCCTTGGACTTAGCTCATCGAACGGAACCACGAACGATGAATATCCCAAGTTTGTCATTCTGCCGAGCCGCTGCCTTTAAGGCCTTCCAAAGAGCATCCACATGAGCTTTCGATATGCCTGACACCGCTTTAATGATTCTTCATCGACTGTCTGAAGATATTCTGCTTAGATAGTGCACATTTCAGCCCATAGTGCTCATGAAACACGACGACGAAGCATAGGCAGTGATAATGCAAGCACAGGTAGGAAACGAGCTGATAGTTTACATGAAGTGCTACGGCTTTTGGAAACAGGAGCTATGCCTAGTCAGTACATTGAAGCATCACCACCTCGTCCTCTCTTAGCAAGAAGAGTAAGTGAAGAGTTTTATTTGCTACAGGCAATTCGCTGATTTTAGTCAGCGTCGGCAACACTGAGGCAAGATTTGAGAGAACTGAAGGAATCTGAGATTTGGGGGACTGCTCCATTGCAGGTACGACGATCATAGTTGTAGATCGCGTTATATGTATTACAATTTGTACAGGTTGATGTATCAGACAGTTCGAGGGTCGCAAGTGATCTCAACATACAGCTTGAAGTCCCGAGCATCCCGCGCTCCGAATGCAGTGGTCTGTCGGATTCGCCCGATCGTCTTGTTATCTGTGACGATGAGGAACTCAACTCTCTGAAAGAGCCTCTTGTCAATGTTGTGGACGCGCATGTACCATATACTGCACCTGAGATTGTGCCGGAATCTTTGGTATCGCCTGCAGAAACAACATTGGTAGCGCCACTTGCAGAAACAGTGCCAAAGACTTTGTTACCGCCGCCAGAAGTAATCTTGGTACCACCGCTTGCGAAACCAGTGCTAAAAACCGTTTTACCTCCTCCACAAGTAACCTTGGTACCACCGCTTGCGAACACGGAGTCACATTTTGAAACTCCGAAAAAGAGGCCAACTAGAAAGAAGAGTCTTACTTCATTGGCAACACCGACGACAAGAAAAAGATCTGTGAAAGGGCAAAATGCGGAAGTTGTTTCGGAAACCGCACAGAAAAGT